TTTTTTCAACATTGAGAATAGTAATTCTTGAGCAAATCAGCATATTAGGATGATATCTGAAAGATCATGTGACACTGAAAACTGTAGTAATGATGCTGAAAATTCAGCTTTGCCGTCACAGGAATATATTACATTTTAAAACATAGTAGTCAACATTTGAAGTGGATAAAAACCTTTCATCAAAGTTATACATGAATTTTGAACAATACCCATTCTGATCTCAGGACAACATTGATGAAAGTTTTTGATCCACTTCAAATGTTGACTACTGTATATTAATTAATAGAAAACTCATATTTATATTTCACTGTTTACTGTATTTTTGATTAATGCAAGCTTGAAAAACATAAAAGACTAAAATCTTCTTGTCCCTGAAAAACACTATCTGTCTATATTAACGATAGTTTTTGTATTTTATGAAATCTTTATTAAAAATACAGCAATAAATATAAAGTCATAAATTAATTAAAATTAACTTCTCATTTTTGTGTTAGAAATCTTGATCTACTGACCGAAAATAAAAATAAAAATCCTTGCTGTTGAGCCCTGATTTGGACAAAGAGCAAAACCTGCTTAGATAATCTAATAACTGATGAATATGGTTGTGTATGTGCTGCAACTAACTGACTTCACTTGATATCAGCTGCTTTGGTGGGCACGCATTATATTCTGTCCTTTCGAGATATGATCTTTGCTTTGTGCATGTCTCTGCTTTATTGTAATACACAGCTGCAGGTGTGGGTAAGGGCGTGCAAGAAAACAATATAGGGTCTTGAAGTGATAGTTGAAATTTGAAAAATGAAATTTACCCCATGATTTACTCACCCTCAACTCATCCTAGGTGTATATGACATTCTTCTTTCAGACGAATACAATCTGAGTCATATTAAAAAAAAAAAAAAACGTCCTGGCTCTTCCAAGCTTTATAATTGCAGTGAATGGCCAGTTTCAATTGTTTTGAAGTCCATCAAAGTGCATCCATCCATCATAAAAGTCCTTCACACGGCTCTCGGGGGCTAATGAAGACCTTCTGAAGTGATATCTATGTTTAAAACTTGATCGACTAATAACTAGCTTCTGGCAGATGGCCGTACACGTCGATTTATGCCAAAAGAGTAACGCTTGATCTGACGCACAACATAATGACGAATGCGGAATCGTAGAGGATAGAGCAAAACAAAACACCAGTCATGAATTAGAAGTCTAATTATGGTAAATAAATACCAAAAGCCGACGTGGAAAATGCCCATGAACACCCCCTCGTGGTATTTTCCACTGGGCAATTCGTAGAATATTTTGATGGACGAGTTGCCGAGATGAGATAAACTTTGACCTTTTCAAAATAGCGGAGAGCACCGCGAGAGTCGTGAATGTTAAAAATATATATGATCTAGAAAATATACAGTATATTATTTACCTTTTGAGTTTTGATGAATAATTTTCTTGCTGTTCCAGATGACTTAAGCAATCTAAAATAGTTTTAGCCAAATAACAGGTCTGGATCTCCGTCTTTTTACCACATTATGACAACAAAAGCACTTGAACAAAACACACTGGTAAATACCAGTTCAAATACAGTGGAAAATACATTGATGTGAATAAGTTTGGACACCCATGCTAAAGTTGCCTAAAAAGAGGAATAAAAAGTCATCTTTTGGATATTGATCTTAATGCCTTAATTAAAAAAAATAGGAAAAATCAAACCTTTTAAGGACTCTAGGTGTGGTGGAAGGGTGTGGGTCTATTTTATTTCCAAAGGCCAAGGGAACTTGATCAGGATGCATATTATCCTGGATCCATGAAATAACTGGCTTTTAAAAATAAAAATCTGCCTGACTCTATGGAAATTTAGCATAGGGGTGTCCTGACTTATGCACCCTGTATTTTAAGGGAAAACATTTATTCATTTATGATACATTATTCATTCACAAAGAAAATTTGTGTCATTAAAGGATGGAGTTTTCCTCATTTTTCTAATTAAAGGGTTAGTTCACCCAAAAATGAAAATTAAGTCATTAATTGCTCACCCCCATGCTGTACCAACCCCGTAAGACCTTCGTTCATCTTCGGAACACAAATAAAGATATTTTTGATTGAATCTGAGGGCTGGATCACTTTTCCATAGACAGCCTGAGGGACTGCCTCTTGACAGCCCAGAAAGTCATTAAAAGAAAAGGTTTAAATATTCCATGTGCCTACAGTGGCTCAACTATAACTTTATCAAGCGACGAGACTACTTTTTGTGCGAGAAAAAAACGTAAATAACGACTTTATTCGACTTTCCATTACTTCCTTATGGGCGCATGCGCGAGAACTGAGACGAGACCGTTCTTCTTCGACTACTTTTTGTTACCGGCTGCTCACCGCTTAGGAGTTTTACCGCCCCCTACCGTATAAGATGACGTACTGCTTGTAAACAGAACGTTTTGCGCCTCCGGCTATATTAGTACGTCATCTTATACGGTAGGGGGCGGTAAAACTCCTAAGCGGTGAGCAGCCGGTAACAAAAAGTAGTCGAAGAAGAACGGTCTCGTCTCAGTTCTCGCGCATGCGCCCATAAGGAAGTAATGGAAAGTCGAATAAAGTCGTTATTTACGTTTTTTTCTCGCACAAAAAGTAGTCTCGTCGCTTGATAAAGTTATAGTTGAGCCACTGTAGGCACATGGAATATTTAAACCTTTTCTTTTAATGACTTTCTGGGCTGTCAAGAGGCAGTCCCTCAGGCTGTCTATGGAAAAGTGATCCAGCCCTCAGATTCAATCAAAAATATCTTTATTTGTGTTCCGAAGATGAACGAAGGTCTTACGGGGTTGGTACAGCATGGGGGTGAGTAATTAATGACTTAATTTTCATTTTTGGGTGAACTAACCCTTTAAGGCATTAAGATCAATATCCAAAAGATGATGATTTTTTATTCCTCTTTTTAGGCAACTTTAACATGGGTGTCCAAACTTATTCACATCACTGTATCCTATTTTCCATAGCACGTGAACGCACCATTACACTAATCCTACGTCATACATGGTCAAGTGTTACTCTTTTGGTGTAAGTCGACTTGAGTAGGCCGTCTGCGGGAAGCTAGTTATTTTGGTCGATAAAGTTTTTTAAATATGGATATTTTTCTTACTTAAGCACATCGCTTCACTTCAGAAGGTCTTGATTAACACCCGCAGAGCCGTGTGAAGGACTTTTATCATAGATGGGTGCACTTTGATAGACTTCAAAACAGAAACCCCCATTCACTGCAATTATAAAGTTTGGAAGAGCCAGGACATATTTTTTTTTTTTTTTTTTATATTACTCCGATTGTATTCGTCTAAAAGAAGAATGTCATATACACCTAGGATGGCTTGAGGGTGAGTAAATCATGGGTTCATTTTCATTTTTGGGTGAACTAACCCTTCAATGGAAATGAATTGTCTAAAATATGTACATTCAGTGTTTGTTTTTCTCACGCATATTGAACATGCAATCACTTTTCTTCCCTGTTCCCAGCAGAAAAGGCGGGGTCAGCGCAGGGGGGCGGGCCATCTCGGCTGAGTGGCAGCAGCAGTTCTTCGGATTCGGGAAGCAGCAGCTCCAGCGGCTCCAGCTCCGAGAGCAGTGACTCAGACTGAACTCCTATTCGACACGTCGCATACTTCAACCTCCTCTATTTTCTAATGAGTAGTGTGTGTTGTCATGATAGTATCTCTCTGAAGGCCCATTTTATAAAGAGCTAGATGCTTTGCAGATGGCAGAGGATATTTTAAAAATAGTTTGTAGGATGCTCTTGGCTCAAACAAAGAGGAGAGTTGGAATAGTTCAAGCAGTTTTAAGGTTCTCGCTGGCCCTCAAAGGGAAATGCCTGGTATCACCAGAGGGGGAAAAAAGACAAAAAAAAGATATTTTTTTGAAAATATGTCAGTCGTGGAGGTGAAACGGTTGTGCGTGTCCGTTGTTTGTTTTTTTTTAGTTTGCTGCTCATTAGATCCATACTGAAAACGTGCGTTAGTGGAAAAACTGACAAATGCCTGGCTGCATTTTACTGATCGAGTAGCTACACAATGTCTCAAAATCTGAAGGAAAAATTCATTTTAATTGCTCTCTCACTCTAGTGTGGTTCTGTCATGTTGGCGTGACATTTCAACTCATTCCGCATTTATTTTACTGACTATGATAATGCTCTTCATTGTTGACATTTTTAAGAGACTATTTATTTTTTTTATCCAAAAAGGCACAACGTTATGCGTGTTTTCGACATTCGGTCTTTTCAGAAATGTTTCCAGTTGACCAGAATTTGGCTCAACATAACTCACTAGAACTCTAGACAGCATCCCGCAACTCTGGTGTCAGGATCGTTATTAAACCTTCATTTTCTGAGGCTTCGCAGTCACTTTGGCAATTTCAACACTGTACATTTTCTCTTCGGGTGCTCTCGGCTCAATATTTGATGTAGAATTACGTGTCTGGATTTTTTTGTTTGTTTTTAATCTATATCATACGCTCATTAGTTTGTTGTTTGTTTTATATTTGGATTGTCTTCTGTACTTTTTTTATACTATTGATATGTAGGTGCTCTGAGTATCTCTTATCCTACTTTCTATGTATGTTCTCAATTTTAATAACTTTATTATTTTACCTTTAGGTTTTTTTTTTTTGTTTTGTTTTTAAATCAAATGGTGTATTGAATGCTTTCAATGGTACATAGACGCTTCTTGCCATGTATCCAGAATAGTTTGGAAATGGACCATGACTGATAATCTTTATAAAAGAAAATATGAATGTATTAGAGGTTATTTTCTCATTTTCTTTTTTGTGGCTGCAGTAATGCCACTCATTCACTGGGTTTGTGGCATCGACAATGATTCATTTCATTTAACAGCGTTGAATTGAAGTCTGAACCCCTTAAAATCATTGGATGTGCTCTTTTTGCCTTAAGTTTAGTTGGCACAGTAAAATGAGTCCGATATAACCACCGAATAAGTTGAAGCCAATGTGTATAGTGTTTTTTTTTTTTTAATCATCAGCATCAAACAATTGTGATGTAAAGTGACTTCCTGGGTTTCCTCCTTATATGTAGGATGCTTTTAATTATGTTTTGATTTTATTCATTATACCACTGTTATGCATTACATGTTCCTTGTGACTATAACCTACCTTGTCTCTAAAATAATTTCTGTTACAGCTCCTCTTCCTCAATTCCTCCAGCAGAGCCCAGTAAATACTACTGGGGTTCATGTTACTGAAAACGATGCAGACAGAGATATACAGATACATAGGATATATAATTACAGATATAAATGTATATTCACTACTTATTCGTCAACTCTGTCTTGGGTCTGAGAATTTTAGTTCTTTTTTTATGAGAGAAAGAGAGAGAACATTTGTGTATTGCATGCCAATTTACAGTATATTTCTTAAATTTTTTGAGCAGTTTATAACATGTAAATGTCATTCTTTCGAGTGAAATTTTAAAATTGGTAGCGCTGCATATGTTTAAGTTCAGCAAGTGAAAGCAAGTTGACAAGTATGTTTTGGCACAGACTTACCATGGTAATATCTGATGTATAAGCTAATCGGAGATTTGGACACTGAGCCCCTCGTTTTTTGTAAATAAATCACAAAAACCCATAGGAGTGTCTTTTTACTATCTAGATGCATTTATTTGAGCGCACTTAATGTTTTTTTTTTTTTTTTTAAAGACATTAAATTCAATAGTAAGAGTAAGATACTGTTTAACGGTGTAATGAGGTTGTCAAAATGTACCAGCAAATCAAGATCTTGATTTCACATTAGCATAAAAAAGGCATTAAAGGTACATAAAAAGCATGATATAATACAGATAAAGCAAGCATATTTGGCCTGTATTCACAGATCGGGCTTATATTAAGCCAGGATTGAGTATTAGTTTCATTAGGACATTTTACCCATAGATTCACAAATCTTAAGCACAGACTAAAATGTTTTAACTGAAAGCAAATTGCACTGACATAATCTTGAAATAGGCCTAAGTATGTGCCATTGTTTTGTCTCAAGATGCACACCAGTAATGTTTTTTTTGTTGTTTTTTTTTTTAATTATTATTTTTTTACCTAAGGCATGTTCATAAAAGATACTTAAATGTCATAATTGAACTAAGAACTAATCCTGGCTTAATATAAGCCCTATCTGTGAAACCAACCCTGATTTCTTTTATAAACGTGCCTTAGAAAAACCATCACTGGTGTGCATAACAATAGCACAGGCATATTTTAAGAAATGCCAGTACAAGTTACTTTCAGTTAAAACAGCTCAAACATGCATTTTAGTCTGGGACTATATTAAGCCTTGTCTGAAACCATGACTAAATCCTAATTATTAGTGTGCACTATACAGTTAAGATTGCTCTGTCACATTTAATTCTTAATACATGTAATGTAAACATGAAAATAGTTGCTTGGACAAGTAACCAGATTTCTTTAATGGATGAAACCAAGTAAAAGTACAGTAGTCAACATCTGAAGTGAATCAAAAAAGTTGTCCCATAAGAACGGGTATTGTTTAATTAAATGGTTTGATCAACTTCAAATGCTGACTGCTGTATAATCTAGTTGAGAATTAAGGAACAGCAATTTCTGAATTGCTGTTTTCCCCACAGAATAGCACTGCTACCATAAAACCCACTTTAACAAAAATAAAGGCATGCGCAGTTTGTTAAATTGGGATAGCCAATGCGATAAAAATACATCTGGTCCCTTTTAGTCTGTAACCAAGCAGGCAATGTTCCTCATACTCCTGCTGCACTTTGCAAAATGTTAAAATACTGATGCTTTGTTCATGAAGCACTGTGTAGACTTGCCCACCAGCTTGTCTGAATAATTGCATGTGGACAAATTACAGTATTTCTGACTGGACATAAACACTCAAATGTGCGTGTTGTAGTCACAACACGAATACCATCACATAACAGCACAAATCCGGGACTGTCCAGTGCCGCTAGAGTCTTTCAGTCTTGTTTTGTCCTGGACCACGACTGCCTGGTTGCCATACTGGCTGTACCACGAGCTCTGACTTCGGCTCAGGTAATTGGTCGGAGGCGCTTTCTCCAGATCCTGCTGTTGCTGTTGCCAAATCAGTAGAGACGTGTCCCTGAACCGGAGCCGAGCGTAGCCCTCCGACATGGCCTTCTCGGCTAAAGGATAGCGCTCCGTCATTGCGAGGAACGATGAAGTGCGGCAAGACGTCTTGTTAAATTTCTCACGAAGTAGGTTATCATCTCAAGTGTCGTGTTGGTTTTGATCACGCCGTTAAAAAATGCTCCAAAGTTTCGTATGTAGGGAGAAAAGCCACTTGTCTTCACCAGTTGCGCATGATCAATTGACACTTAACGTTACTTAGGCGATGTTAATCCCCTCTGCATTTTGTTGACTTATGCAGTTGACAGTGATAACAATTAAATAATTATATTACAAAGTAGCCTCATGCGTGGTCTTTTAAAGTACTATTCAGATTTGTTTAACGTTTCAAAGCTTGCTTGTTGACTAATTCGAAAGAGAGAAACTGCAGACAACGCCAGCGGCTGCCTGTGGCAACAACGTCCGCTTGAATGCGAGTCCGACTTGCAACCATGAGATGTTTCATGGTTCCGAGTGCTGGTTCATTGAGCTGTGTGGAGGATCGTAAGGTCCAGCTCCCCCTCTCAAGATGTAGTTTGAGCGTGATGAGTGGAGCAAGGTCGTACAACCACACCCACCTCTGCACATTAGATCCACAGAAGTGGAGCTGGACTAGGTCAAGCTCAACCCAAAACATCTACAGAGGTGGAGCTGGACGTTATTTGACTAATGAGCATCAAAGTACAAGTTTTTTTTTTTTTATATATTATAAAAAAACAAGTATTGTACATTCAACTGGGCATTTTAACAAATCAAATTCCCACTAATCTAAAATAATAAGTTTCATAATACAATCACCTGCAAAAAAAGAATGCAGCATCAGTTAGAAGACTACTTAGTCAGACATAGAAATATGTTTTTATTTCAAAGCAGTGAGCAAGCTTAAAAAAAAAATCAAGTCTTCATCATCTGACATAAAACGTTAGATAATAAGCCTTTTGTGGAGGTGTCATTATGAGCATGTATAATCCACCAATAGAATTGAGAAAATATGAAGTGATGCAGCAATTAATAAAGACTGACTGAAAAGATCATATAACTACTGGGACGTTTCAGTAGATGGTGGATCTTTCGAGGATTTTATACTCATTTCTTCTTAGGGCCGGCATCAAGAGGCTGCCCAATTTCCTTTCCACGCAACTTTAGACCTAAAAGTGAAAGAGTGAATATGTTAAAAATGAGAAAAAACGTCAAAATAGAGTTAAACAAAGTTTGTTCTCCTTTAAGAGATCGCAACTTAAATAAATGCTGTAATTACTACTATTACTTTTTTTGCACCAAAATTATTGCTAGTACTTTTGGCAAATGTTTAAAATGATCTACAGTAGTACTGTTTAAAAGTTTGGGGTCAGTAAGTTATTTTTCTTTCATTTTTTTGGGAGGAAGAGGAGTTTCTTGAGCTACAAATCAGCATTTTAAAATGAAGCATTTCTGAAGGATCATGTGACAAGTCTGGAGTAAAGGCTACTGGAAATTCAGAAATGCCATCAAAGGAATAAATGAAGAGTTTAGATGCAAAAGCCTCTAAATGCCATTTGAAATTTTCTTCTTTAATGATGATTTTTATCAAACTTGTATATTTAAGTTCAGTAATTTCACTTAAATGGCAATGATAATTACCTATTAATTGTTATTTAAGTGAAATTACTGAACTCAAATATACAAGTTTGATAAAAATCATCATTAAAGAAGAAAATTTCAAATGGCATTTAGAGGCTTTTGCATCTGAACTCTTCAAATGATCTTTAAATATAAAACAGTTGCAATATTTCACAATATTACAGCTTTTAGTGTATTTTGATCAAATAAATGCAGCCTTGGTGAACATAAGGGACTTATTTTAAAAACATTTAACAAAAACTTAAAAAAAAAAAAAATGGAGCTGCCCCCAACTAAAGATTTTTATAATCGACTAGTCGTCGTTCATTTAAGCCAACAGTCGACAAATCACACGTTAATGATATGAATTTAATTACTCAAATACTGGGTGATGCATCAAGAATATCACCAGTATTATATATATTAATTTCATGTAATAATGTTAACATTGTTCTACATTACTGAGAAATACTAAATCATAATATTTAGTTTTTAAATAGGCCTATAAACTAAGCACTCAAGCGCAGACATAAAGCTTGCTGCAGTCCACCTGCAAAAGTAATGACTATGAATGTCAGGAAAGGGGACTATCAGAACACTTTAATAATTGATCAATAAACTAGAGTCATAGTCGGCTGCAAAGATGTTTCTGATGGTGCTGACTCGCCATCTCTGTATACAGAGAAATTATGTTTTATACAGATTATTAAATAATCCAAGATTTTTTTTATTATTATTTCAATTGGTTCATTTAAAAGGAACTTCAATATATTTATATAGACATATTTCTCATGTCTGTGAGGCAAGTATACGCTGAGTTTCGGTCCATTTTTGTGATGCGCTCCAGTAACGGAGACCGAGATGGCAGAAAGTGCATCCTGTTTGTATATCACAAATAAAAGACATTTTACAGTTTTGAACGTTGTATTTTATCTGTAAGAACAAAAATTTTGCATTTAAAGTTATGTCCGTAATTATTATGGAAATTTAAATGCAAGCCATATTTAGGTCGATGAACTGATAAGGTGAACATTTGATTTTCCTCCCCGACATAATGTAATTACCACATGGACCAGCCGTGTTATGTTCTGTCTATCACTGACTGCATGACTTCGCCACTTCCTCTCAGTTTTTCTTATGCAACCAACCGACTAGTTTAAATTTGGTAGACTAAACTTATTCTCATAGACTATTGGGGGGCAGCCATATTTTTTTTTTTTTTTTTTTAAAGAAAAAAAATCGAATTGATTGGTCTTTCCATTGTCAGACACTTTAAGTTGCAGATTACATTACAAGTCACAAATATACACATACAAATATGGCAACTACAGAGTCACTGGTATTTTAAAATAAAACAAATGCATGATATAGTATATACACACACATTTGCAAGATGCTGCACCCACATGATAGGCCAATATAAAGTCAAGAGTCTATGAGACCATGATGCAAGCATTTTTATTTTTTTATTTTGCTGAATTATACAAGCACAAATAAATTTCATATTTTAATGCATAAACCATAGCCAAGCAGCAAATAAGCTATTATGTAGTAATGAATGATATAATGACAAAATCCTACCAATGGCTCGCTCAATCTTCCCCATGACTTGGTTATTGGGGATGGCCTTTCCACATTCATACTCCGCGATGATCTGTGGCTTCTCATTAATTTTCTGCAAGAAACACAATTATAAGTTTAAGTCGCATGACACCAAATGGAAGTTTTTCTTCCATATTGTGACACATCTGAGTGAAAGGGCTTCTCGAACAACAAAAAAGTGGGGTGGGACTTGGTTTTGTAAATCTTAAATTGATGGGGATATTAGATCGAGGTGGTTCGCCATTTCGGTGATCTCATCAGCATGTGAGTAAACACATCAGAGAAGAGTTGTTGTTTCAAGTGGGAATCTTTAATCAATCAAAGATTACAAGGGTACATGCATTGTTAAAAATTATGTACACAGATAAACAGTTTTTTATAAAAAAAAAAAGGAAATAATAATAATAATACATTTTTAATTTATGGTGACATAAAAGATGATTCATACAGTAAGTATGGTCTGATGATGGACCATAAACACTATTGAAAGACAAATTATTCTGATAGAAAAAACACTAATGTGCCCTTGTAAAAAAAAGTTACTTGTGCCCTCAACTCTGTGTTCTCATATTTTAATATTCAGTTTTAAGTCTGGGTTTTGTTTGGTTGTTGTCTCCGCTCACCACAATCCCACCCATTTCTTGACACTTTCAGGTTTGAGGTGCAAACATCCAGGCAAAAACAGAGGGGAGGGGTTCACGATACTTTAAAGGAGTAGTTCACTTAAAAACTTTTGCTGATAATTTATTCACCTCTATGTCATCCAAGATGTCAATGTCTTTCTTCAGTCGAAAATAAATAAAAGAAGTAGTTCACTTTTAAAAAAAAAATTGTTGATAATTTACTCACCCCCATGTCATCCAAGATATCCATCTCATTCTTTCTTCAGTCGAAAAGAAATTAAGGTTTTTGATGAACATTCCAGGATTTTTTCTCCATATAATGCACGTTACTGGTAACTAAACGGTTCAAGGTCCAAAAGACAGTTCAGTTTCAGTAAACGATCGCTCATTTAAAAAAAAGAATAATAATAATAACAAAGTTTTATAAGCTCAAATGGTTGCCTTGCTCTGTTCTGTGATGTGCGTTTGTGACTCTACTGTTTGAACTCGTTTATCAAAATGAACGAATTTTATTTTGTGTCATCTGGTTCATTCAACGAACGAAATGAACAAGTTGACTCGGAAAAAGTTTCGTTCATTTTGATGAACTAGTTCGAACAGGAGAGTCATGAACGTGCATCACAGAACAGAGCAAGGCAGCCATTTGAGCTTATAAAACTTAAACTTTGTTTTTGTTTAAATGAGCGATCATTTTGCTTGATGAGACCGAACATTCTAATCTGAAAAATAAAGCCTACCCAGAAGTGCAAAAAACTGCAATACATCTAAAATTCGCTAGAGGCCGGTCCCAAAAGGGAGCAAATATCCATAGACAGCATGTTAAAATGTCAGTTTTCACATCATATCATAAATTAAGATTAAAGATACCTCTGTATCCTTTCTGAAGATTTTCCAGTATGGGCGGCGCCATACATCACATAAACAGCCTCAAAACTGTTCTTCAGAAAGTCTATGGGTGAAGTCACAGACGCTTTGTCCATATTTTTTACAGTCTATGGATAAGACCCTTATTCATCATCTGGAATCGTTTAAAGCCTGTTGAACAGTTTGCAGTTTGCACTGAAACTGTCTTTTGGATCTTGAACTGTTTGGTTACCAGTAAAGTGCATTATGGAGAAAAATCCTGGAATGTTTTCATCAAAAACCTTAATTTCTTTTTGACTGAAGAAAGACAGACATGGACATCTTGGATGACATGGGGGTGAGTAAATTATCAGCAAAAGTTTTTTGTTTTTTGTTTTTTAAAGTGAACTTTAAGGTTTTTGATGAAAACATTACAGGATTTGTCTCCATATAAATGGACTGGGCACCAAACGGTTCAAGGTCAAAATGAGAGTTTCAGTGCAGCTTTAAACAATACTAGACGATGAATAAGGCTATTATGTAGCGAAACAATCAGTCATTTCAAAATTAAAAAAGTTTAAGTTTTAAAAGCAGAAATGCTTGCCATGCTCGGTTTTGTGATGCGCATTTGTGACTCTCCTGTTCAAACTCGTTCATGAACTAATCTTTTTGAGTCATTTGGGTCATTCAACGAACGAAATGAACAAAATGACTCGAAAAAAGATTTGTTTATTTTGATGAAGGAGTTCGAACAGGAGAGTCACGAGAGTACGCGTGTATCACAGAACAGAGCAAAAACGAGCATTTGTGCTTATAAAACTTAAACTTTTTTATTCATTTTTGAAATGAGCGATCGTTTCCCTAGATAAGAGCCGTATTCATCGTCTGGTATTGTTTAAAGCCCTTTCAAGCTGCACTGAAACTCTCATTTGGACCTTGAACCGTTTGGTGCCCAGTGAAGTCCATCATAAGGAGAAAAATCCTGGAAAGTTCATCAAAAACCTTAATTTATTTTCGATTGAAATAAGACATGGACATCTTGGATGACATGGGGGTGAGTAAATTCTCAGCAAAAGTTTTTTTTTTAAAGTTATCTACTCCTTTAAATGGGCAAATACTCACAGTAGCCAGATCTTTTTGGGTGAAGCCCTTATTCTGGCGGCCCAGCTGGATCACTTTCCCCACTTCAAGAGGAACTCTCTGGTGACTCAGCTCCTCAGTCTCTCTGTCCAGCTTGGCTGTGTTCTTGGTTATAACATGCTGTTTATTTTGCCCAGCAGCCCCTTAAAAAAATAGATTATTCATTGAATCCAATTGGGAATATAGATTGATTAACTTATATACAAAAGGTTTAACGTCATGTGCCCTTACATTTCTTAGAAGTTTCGACTTCCTCTCCCTTCCTCTGAGCAGTAATTATAGCCTGAAACAAAAGCACTATTAGGGTTATGTAAACCGACAGCACATTGCACATTTGAGCTGCTGTTGTTTTCATGACAATTACTATGGCGTCCGTCACGTTTCGTACACTAGCTGATCCAACAAGAAATAACACGTTAGTTACGTATTTCTGTTGCGTTAGTTGTCAGACCGACATTTTAAACTTTGGGACATATTTGGCGCATTATTTGAAACGAAACATTTGACAGTATGCCACAACAACAACGTGTTTGTCAAACGTGAACTATAACGTCAGCAAACTATGTAACGTTAACGTAATGTTAGCAGACGTCTGTGAGATAACGTTACCTGTTTCGACTTTGACTGCGCAGCCGAACCCTTCTTCCTCAAAACGGTCACGGTATCCCAATCACTCTCTGCCATGTTGTCGAGAATTAGTTGCACAAGTATTTGATGATAGGCAACAACAGGGCGTTGAAGTTGTGAAGCACGTCTCTGCAGCTCTTTATGTTAGCTAGTGAACCATACCGGATATACGTCACTATATGAGATATGTCAACAAGTCCCTTTAACATGTACGTGTATCGTTTTTGTTTTTTTTACAGTCTATCTATGGTATTAACGTGTTCATTTTGCTAGCATGTGTATTATAAAAAGGGGTGGAGAGTAAGCACGCAATTGTATGAATCTCTTATATTTCACAAACCGAGTGTTTTATGGATGATCAAAGCTTTTAATTTGCCCTTCATACCATCTGACGCAACAACATAATGGAATAGCAATTTAGCAGCATAATAATTTCGATTGAAATATTTACTTACTCATTTACTTAAATAGCATATTTTGCTTCGATGGAAGCAAAACTCATGATTTATATTTATATGTATTTATTTTACACAAGATCCAGGACGTAAAAACGACATGGCCAATGTCACCAATTTCCTTTTTCTATAAAGTTTTTTTTTTTATTATAATTATTTTTTTACTTGCTGTTTAATTCCAGGTAGTAACGTTTTCTTTGTCTACTAATAGGTATGCGTTGGCAATGCTTTTTATCTGTCAATGTAAGACAAACTGATTCAATTATTATAAGTAATAGCTAGTAAATTTGTTGGTTCAAACTAAATTTATATTCTGATAAAGGTCTAATACATTTTTATAATAATTATATTCACACTTGTAAATTCATATTCAAAGTTTACACCAAGTGAGGATTTAACTCTGGCCCTTGCCCTCTCTCTAAAATATAAAGTGACAATAAAGTCTAATAATATAATAAATAAAAGCATTTTAGCTTAATGGTGTTGTTGAATCTCTTTCACTTTATTAATAAATATAAAGTAAATTTATTTATTTATCTATTTACATTATTTACACACACACATACATGTTGATATAGGTGGTTTACAGGATATTCCATAGGCATAATGATTTTTACACTGTAAAACCTGTATTCTATCCCCATAACCCTACCTCTAAACCACGGAAAACAGTATTCAGTATTTTTTTACATTTTTTATAAAAAATCATGTAGTATGTTTATTTTGCGTTTTGAATTACAAGGACATCGTCATGTCCACGTAATGCAGGGGGCAAGGCCTGAAACCTGATATATATAATATAAGTAATACACAATATTTGAAGAGTTCAGATGCAAAAGCCTCTAAATGCCATTTGAACTTTTCTTCTTTAATGATGATTTTTATCAAGCTTGTATATTTAAGTTCAGTAATTTCACTTAAATGGCAATGATAATTACCTATTAATTGTTATTTAAGTGAAATTACTGAACTTAAATATGCAAGTTTGATAAAAATCATCATTAAAGAAGAAAATTTCAAATGGCATTTAGAGGCTTTTGCATCTGAACTCTTCATTTGCATCCTCATAATGTAGGTCAAACCAATGCGTGCACAAACACACATATTGGTACTGGCAAATCTGTAGGGGAACATGAAAAGGGCCATGAATGGAACGTTTTTACAAAGAAGATTTCGAAAAATATGCTTTCATGGGTGCTTCTGGAATACATGAAATGTGTTCTCTTCCCTTTTTAGTTCCTGTTTCTGCATTTCCATTATGTAATTTGTCTCAATGGTTACTGATTCTCACCTGTGTCTTGTTTATTTGCCAGTTTGCTCAGCCCTCGAGTTCAATTGTGTTTTGTTCTTTATGGCATTATAGGGTGCATCTCAATACTCTAATATACTTCCTCGTTTCCTCGCTCCGCTGTCCTCCAGCCCACGGGAACTGATGAAAGAAAGCCATCTTGAAGGACATCTCAATTCTCTAATTGCAACGTGAACTTAAGTGGGGTGGAGCTGAGACTCAAGGAAAAAAGAATGCTTAAATTAGAAATGAGAAGCAATGTAAGTGTGGTTTTCTCTTCCCATGCTTTGTTTCATTTTCTTTCAATAAAAGTATTACTGCAATTACCCTCTCTTCACCTCCTTGTTAACCACTCTACCTCGACAGATAGACTATTCAAACAAACTGAGTGCTGTAATAATATCGAAGGGTGCTTTAATGTCATTAGGCCAGTTAGTTATTCAGGGTTTTTTTTTTTCTCTTTGAGATGTGTAATTTTGGTTTTCATTGGCATTGAAAATTTAGATTTTTTGGATGTGAAAAAGTTCTGATTGAAAAGGTTATTTGTCTTTCATTTTTTATATCACAAAAACAGCTGTTTTAACATGGATGTGTAGTCTTTTTTTATATCCACATACTATATATTGTATGTAGGCTACTTCCTTTTTCTTTTTGTAATCAGTTTTCCATGGTGTTTAAGCCTTTTTGTATAACTGTTTGTTTTTAATCATAAAGAACAATAGTATTTTTGTTTGACAGAATTTGACTTTAATACCTTTAAACCGTACAAAGAATTTTGCTTAATCTGCAATGGAATTTTGCTAAAAAAAAAAAAAAAAAAAAAATGTAGTGAAAAAGAGTCGTTTCTTCTTCCATTATAGTTACACTTTTATTACACTTCATGTGATTTTTTTAATAATGAATGAAATTTAATATAAAATCAACTCTGTCAGTAGTGAGCAGTTACACTTGTCACAGGAGCAATTGGGTTCAAATAGTCTGTAGCAAGAACATGGACTCAGATACTGACCCCTGCTGGTATTTATAGACTGCTGAGTCAGGGTCATGCACTGGCAGATCACTGCTATAAGCAAAAGGGGGGTGGGGAGACTGACAAAAACAGCTGCAGAGATATCAAACAACCATTCAATATATGTTATATCTTTGATCTCTTTTGTCAAACATTAACGCAAAATAAGCAGTCCGAAACATAGGTGTTGTTTTATCTTTCTGCCAGTGAAATACATCTAAATACATCTATAGCTACATTACTAACATAGCCACTAACTTGAGACTGCTGGTGTAGGATCAGTTTTCTGCATAATAATAGCAAGTGACCAAAATGGCCAAGCACCCATGGAATTGTGTGTATTTACGACCCGCCAATGTGAGATCCACCAATTAGAGAGGTACCCGAATTTGTTTTTTGATGGGATAAAATGAATGGAGAACATCTCGTGTTTGTCCCTGGGTGCTTGGCCATTTCCATTTGTCTGCAAATGTTTACTTATGATAACAGCTTTTAAGATCATCTTGAGATTGTAGAGGCTTAATCCTACTTTACAAAGTGCTTTGAGACATGAGGTAATTTAACACCGTTAAGAAAATAAGAAAACAATATGACTGTTCCTTTAAATGTGCAACATGATGTAATTTTGTTTTATTATTTTACCCAAATAAAATCATGCATTTGTTACTACTTCTGTCATTGATTTATATCAGGATGTGAAGAGTTTCAACCAGAATAACATGAGAAAAATTGCCTGCCCTAACTTTAAAAGGGTGGTTGCTTGTGATTTCACTTTTCTAACTTGTGTAATGTTGCTGTTTGAGCCAAAACATCTGCAACAAGTTACAATGCTCAGTTCAAAGCAAATGGAGCTATTTCATTTTACAGAAATTGCTTTTTAAGGACTACAAACGCCTGGTATAGGGACTACACAAACTTCCTCCCGGGTTAGTGACATCACAGAGTTTCTGTAGTAGAGCACATTTGGGAGTATGCTCAAGCTATCACATCCATCTTTTCACATGTATTGCAATACAGTACGTTACACAAATGCAATAGCATCTCACAGTAGTTCCCATACTAGCGATTTATAGATTATCATGACAGAATGTGCTAACCAATGACTTGAAAATAGTTAACTCCACATCAGCTACATACATTCATCAACTAACCATTCAGAAATGTCCTGTTGCATTCTACATGTTGTCACTTCCTGAGTCTCTCCATCTTTGTCCGACTTCGGTTTGATCATAAAAGGTATATCAGTTTCTGACATTTTAGGCCCTGTCCACACTACTGTGTTTTTGTTTAAAAATGGAGAATTAAAACGAATACGATCTCCGTCCACACCAGCGTTTTATCTGCGTATTAGAATTGATCTCCGTCCACATTAAATCGACTGAAAACGCAAATCACGTGACCATTCACCAACACTGGGCATGCGCGTGCCGGTGTAAACAGTGGCTGACGAATCAGGGAAGGATACGTCATGACGGATGATACAGTACCCAATCACAGAGCAGCCTCTGCGTCATCGTTTCTAAACTCGATGAAACCCTCCGGAGATTCAAAACGCAAAACGGAGCGGCAGCGTTTCTAAACTTCTCCGTTTTAGGTCTTCGTTTTTTCCGTTTTAGTCTGGATGGGAGGTGCAAACGTAGCAAAAGGTCTCCATTTTTAAACAAAAACGCAGTAGTGTGGATGGGGCCTTAGTGTGTGTCTGCAAGCTGATAACACACAAGCTCTTATATCTCCGCCCTCTTTGCAGGGAGCAGCAGCTCATTTGCATTTAAAGGGACACACAACATTACATGTTTTTGCTCACCCTCAAAAAGGGGCAATTTTAACATGCTATAAAAATGATCTGTGGGATATTTTGAGTTAAAACTTCACATACACACTCAGGGGAAATCTTGTAAAAAGGGGCATTATACCACCCCTTTAATGATATCACTCACTTGCATTCACACATATACACAATAACCTAAACTCATGACCAATATATATACTGTTGATAAAAGAAGTACAACTTGTTTGATTTATGTTTCATTTATGTTTTTAATCAATCTGTACAACACTAAAATACTTTTGATTACAACAAGAAGGTATCAAATTCATTGAAGGGATTCTTTCATGTATGGTAGGCCCATACACATATAACATTGGAGTGAAAATCATATAAAATGGCAAATCTGGGGCTTGCAGTGATTGAAGACATACATAACATAAAACATAAATTTCATATAAACAACATTGCAAATTTTGGTAAAAGTGAAAAAAATGTGCTTGAAATGTTCAGTAATTTCATTCATATAAATGTGATGCATTCAGAGTATCGTGAAATGTCAGGACAGCTGAATTTAAACTCCAGACAAGCAAAAAACAGTCCAAAAAAGTCTCAAATTAGCCATGGTATCATGTAAAACAGTCCATGGTGGTTTCATTTACAACATTTTATATACATTGTAAATATTCAGAAAATCACATACAGTTCCAAGAAAATAGAAATCTGAAATGACTTATTATGCTGCTTGATAAAGTCCCTGAGCAAATGCTTCGCTCTGTGATCAATAAAATCCATTAGCCAATTGATATTAAATCACACATAGTGATTTGGCCTTTAATCAATGTTGACAGTAAAAAAAAGAAAAAAGTCTTGCATCAACATCCTTTCTCTTAAAGTGAAAGGGAACTGTGCACCTGAAGCGTTTCTCCAAACTTTATATTGCTTTAGCAGAAATGGTACAAGAAATGTTCAAATAAAGCTAATAGATGTGTGCTGCTTAGGAAAAGGTTTTTTTTAGTGCATGTTTCAGTCATGCACTTTTCAGTATAGCCGGAAGTCACTTAATCTGAAAAAAAAAACAAAAAAAAAAAAACATGCAGCGGCTTTTGAAATCCTGAAATGATCAGTAGAGGGGGCTCCAGTTGAATGTTCCTATGGATATTAGAGTCTGGCACGTGTTGGAAGACAGCCAGACCATCTCCACTAAACTGTAATGAAGGAATCCCAAGGCAAAGCCACATCCGACATCTGTCAGATGGTGGCGACCCAGAAACACACGGGATGTGCCAGCTAGGAAGGCCCACAACACAAGCAAAATACGCAGAGGAACTGCAAGCACCAAATGTGCTAACAGGAATTTAGACACCATGGCTGCTCGGCTTGCATGTGCTGCTGGGAAAGAATAAATATCCATGGCCAGGTAGTCGAGGAAACTGGGTGCCATTTCCCAAGGCCCTTTACGCTTCACCAACTTCTGCATGCCTGCTACAGTCATCACATCCAGAAAGAGAGCTGTAAAGCATTGATGTTAAACGTACGTTATTAAAGCAATATCAGACTCCCAAGAATGTATTTTTGGCTATAGCATGGGTGGGATTTGGCCACAAGAAATCGCACTCATCATGATAACACACACTTGCGAGTATGAAATTGCTTTTTTAAAACAGTTTAAAGGACATCCATGTTAATAAGAAAAGAAAAACCAATGGGTTTTTCAAAGCCCCTCTCGTGTGTGGAACTACTTTCTTACACCTCAGATTCAAATCTCTTATTGCTAGTTCAAAAGATGTTTCCAATGTGTCTCCATTACAAATTCGAAAACATTATGTTAGAAGTAGCAAAGATGGATTAAGCCATTTCGGATGAGGAAAAATCAGAAACAGCTTAAGCCAAGTAGCTTTCTGTTGCTCAATGCAAATCTGAGAAATCTTGAACCTGTTGCAAAGTCTGCTTGAGTAAATATTTCACACTCCGGCTAAATTCCATATCGTATGGATTCCTATTGAAATGACGTGATTTCACCCATGGAAATTTGCTGAACATTGTACAGTTGTGACCGCATCTTAACACTGAGGAGGAGAGGCTTACATATGATGCAGCAGTGCCATGGAGGCTGGTATCTCCACATAATAATAATAACATCTCAAGCGAAATTGATAATAGGGGATTATCACGCTTCCGGGTTTCATGGGCGGGATTTGTCAACTTTGTGCATGTCCACTTCCGACGCAGTTCAACAATGCCTGAGACGAAGGCTATATGTCACTGCTCTGTTCCACTTAGTAAATCTAACCAACAACGCCAACCCTACTGAGGGTTGTTTTCATGGATTCCCGACTGAATTGAGTATAAGGAAGAAGTGGATTAAAACTTGAAAATAAAACAAGGTATGGCACGTTTATTTGCAGCCGGCATTTTAGTGAATCATACTAATTTACCAGGGACAACGTATAAATAAACTTAGTGTAGTCTGTCATCAGTTCGCCAGTGAGATCGGTAATTCAACGGAAGTGGCAGTGCACAAAGATCACTGAATCCGGAAGTACTACGTATCAGCGTGATAATCCCCTATTAAAGCTTTGTTATGCAAATCAAGTTTGAAACCAGGATCGCCAAGAAGACTGCTAAAATGAAGATTTACAGCGAACTGACTCAATTCACTTCAGAGACACAGATTAAACCACTGGAGTAGCACGGCTTAACTTAAAGTCCCCGTGAACCGGAAGTTGCAAACGATTTTTCTCCAGTGCTGTGACGTATTTCCAAGTGAAACGGAATAGATACAGTCGGCAACGCGTCATAGTTGGGGGGCGTGGTCGGTGTGGGGGAAAGCAGCGCGACCATCCTATGTATTTGAATGACAAAAATGTCATATTGCGAGTCATTTATGCCTGCCGACCGGCAACGGTACATTGCAAAATTAACTGTAATAGGTTATGATTGCCCTTATTTAATTAAAAACTGGGTCAATGACCCAACAAATGGCCGGAGGTGTCGTTTCCAGACTATTATATCTGGTTGAATCTTCAGGTAAGACATCGCGGAAGCTACCGGCAACACAAGCCTGTAACTCAATCAACTTGCGTATTTTTACTATAAGTCCATAAAACCATGTCACTTACCAATTGTACGTATGCTTCACTCCAAACTATTAATCCTTTTGTAAAACGGTGATCATTAGTAGTCGCTACGAAGTTGCAGAGGGACTTTGCTGACAGTTATCCGAATTCTCACAGACTGTCTGATAACCTTCAGCTGATAACGCTAATAACATCCCTTATGAAAAACAACTAAAGGAATCTTGTAGTATTTAGGACAAAATGTTATAGTAACGTTAATCCTATAGGAATACTATAGTATTTTGGGACATAGCCTAAAAGTATAGAGGTATTAAAGAACATCACAGAAGTATTATACACTACTATAGAATACTAATAGCATAGGATTACTATAGTTCTTTTTCGTAAGGGATGTAACGTCAGACAAATCTGGCCCACTGCCTAATACGAGTTAAACATCTACTACTATATCACACGGACCTCTACTCACACAGTAATCTAATAAGATATGATTAATTTTGCCATTTTGTCCTCCTATCCGGTTCTGTATGTATGTAAGAAAGGCTGTAGAACTTCAATTTATAATTTGTTTGTTTATTTGTGGTACAGAAAACGACACCGCAACTCTTCGGCATGATTGTCCCATGTATTTCAATGAGCGCCAAGGCAATGTTTTCCCCCACGGGCTAAATTCACACCACGTGACGGGGCGTTCCCGGGGGCGTTCCCAGACCAACCGACTGTATCTATATTGAACAGAGGGCAGGGTTTTACTCTAGCGCTCCTCCTCTCCATCTCTCGCTCATAGCAAACTAACGGTTTGAGGGGAGTGGTTAAGCGTTTCCCCACCCAAACTGTGAAACCTACGTCATCAGAAAAAGAAACCGTTCCAGACCGGAAGTAACTTTTCAGATTTTGATTAAAGATTACTAAGGTAAAACATTTTTTTAATATATATTCACTTGCACGGATTAATTGTTCACCACAACACTAGTAATATGCGCTAACAAAGTAAATAGGTTCAATTTTGATTTCACGGGGACTTTAACACTGTATTTGTGAGTTTCTTGGAGCTACTGTTTTGTTCATTGTTTACTTGCATTGAACCTAGAGTGCTGAAATATTTTACTTCAAATCTTCATATGTGTTGAAGTCATAAAGTCATGCACATCTGGGATGGCATGAGGGTAAAACAATTGATGACAGAATATTCATTTTGGGGTTTGGAACTAAAAGGAATAGAAAAATAATAATATAATATAATATAATATAATAAATATAATAAAAATTATATCATTTAAATTAAAAGTCTTTATGCCAGCGTGCACGCAATGAACTAGTCACAGTCAGAACACATTTTCTTGTATTCCCTTATCCACTGACCTACATACCCAACAGCATCCTCACAAGTTGCTAAAAACCCTTCATGTGAGCACAATGTGGTTTCAAATTCATTCCGAAATCAAATGCACTTAACAGGATTCTCGATTATACATTTTTTTTTTTTTGAATGCCATTTTAATCCCAGAAATCGTTTACATTATATTTAAATATCTTTCAGACAGAGCTTCAAAAATACAAATAAATTTAACATTACATACACTGGAATTATCCAAACAAATATTTACTTAAATTGTATAAATTAGTAGGCAATAAAATATCCTTAGGCTAAGTAAATGAAGGTCTTTAACAACAATATCACTCTTTCTGTAAGACATTCGACAAGAAGGTCTGTGGTTGATTTAGAGGAAGACATTTCTCAATCCCAGTAGCATGTGTTTGACCAAAATAGTAGCCTATGTTGTTTATATAGCCGCCCACATTTTTAGACTGTGACACATCCGGACGTTCTTCAGAGCGTCAGTATTTTACTCCTTATCAGAAAAGCGTTACAACTCACCTAGCAGCAAATTGACCAATACCTCTTGACCTGCCAACGTGTTGCTTCTTGTAAGACACAAAATTGTACCGAAGATCCACGGGATGCCATGGCCAGTGAGCGCGAGCAGCTTGACCATAGAGCGCACGCTTCCCCACGACGATGTGGGGTGCGCGCACACGCCGAGCCGCTTAGACATACAAATATCAATGGCCAGAAGAGAGTTCATAGCGATGCCTTTGAATGAGGGGTTAAGCTGCATGCAGTCTTCTTCTGGTAATTCCTTCTTTTCTTTATTGTTCTCGGGTGACTCGTTCTGCGCATTTTCGCCTGGCTGGTGTGATTTTGCTGCTGTCTCTGCGACGGCCTCCGCGCAGTGCCGCGAGCTTCCGCGCCAGCGCTCTTTAAAGGCTGATTTAGAGACATAAACTCGGGTCTGTTCAGCACATTGTTTCGGTCCCTCGCCTGGATCGAGACTGGTTTACAGGCATCTTGATTTTCCACTGCCCTTCCACCCTTAAATGTATTTTACTGTCCTGTTCTTCACACTGAGAGACAGTGAACGGTCTACCATGTCCATTCCCAGATCATGTCTTGCTCTGTTCTATGAGTTGCGACTTCTATTCCAGTTACTCTATAAATAGACATTCCAGCCGCCTGGATACATGAGACGCATCCACATGCTGCCTTCTTACAGCTGAAAATCTAGGCAAACAAATTACACTCAACTAAGAAAATCTCTGTAAACATGCAAACAAATAAATAAACAGATAGATGTTTCTATTGCAAATACTAAATAATTGCAACGGGTCAATGCTGCACTATAAGATAATTCACATGTTTTGTAGCTATAGGGAAATGTTATTTATTTATTTATTTATTTATTTTCAAAAAAGTGTAAGATGGAACTATTACGGCTATATTATTTATTTAACCAAATTATATAATATAAATAATACAAAAATATATAATATAAAACCCATGCAATGCAGTGCCTTAACTGAGTTCAAAGTCTATCAAATAAATAAAATCAAATATTGTTATACATAAGCCTACTATTGTGGAATCAAAAAAGGCTCTTTACAGACATCAGAACTCCATTTCTACCAAAAACCGCATACCCCTGCATATCTCACCTATTTTCTTTGCTTTTTTACTGTTGAGTTTTGTTTTTATCTTTTTGACTATTTTGTGCAGGGAAACTAGCTTTATCTGTAAAGCTGCTGAATGGTTTCACTCACTGAGTAGGCTATAAATGACTGAAACCTGTTGACTCTTAAGTCCCCTGACTCTAAACTACACTACCCAGGATGCAAAACGTCGTCAAGAAGGGAAGTCTAATTCTAAGCCGCTTGGATAAAAAAAGCTAACAGCTGAAGTATTGTATTACACCAGAGGAACCTGACTACCCTTTAATAGGCTAGGGCAAGGGCGACACAAAGTAACCCGACTGGTCACGCTCTTTAAATCTCTCAGATATGACGCGGAAATTAAGGGCACCGACATTTGATTTGACACTAGAAATTTTACTCTCAAATTATTCCAGAAGACGCAGCGTGGAGCGCGAGCTGTAAGGAGCCTGTGTGGATTTAAACTTAAAGTTATGTTTCGTGTTCTTTTTGCCATCCTGGTGGACCTTTTGAATAATGGATCGACTCAACGGCGTAATACTGTTGACTGGAGCGCAGCGTAACAGGTCGTAATGCCGCACTATCGGACTGTGCCTAACAGGTGCTTAGACATTTCTGGGTAAATCAAAGGCACGTACGAGCTGACATCATATATTTTATGGTGACCAACGCAAAATAGTAACAGATCCATAAATATTAGGTTTAATTAAAATTCATTAGAATGAACATGTAAGGTTTATGTTATTTTTGCTCGACTGAAGGAGGGGAGAGATCTGGGATTTATTAATGCTATGTGGCAAGAACATACAAGAAATATGTAGTGATCCATAATGTATGTTGACATGTCAGGAATCATGTCATGGATCATGCCATAGCACTGTGACCACAGACTTGGGCCCTTTTACTCACATTATGAATAAAACTGCTTTATTTGGATGCTGATGGGTGTTTGTGCTGCCAGTCTGAAGAGCCTCCACCATGGGATGTGTACAGAGTGTAAAACTCAAGCCAAGTTTTCATGAGAACATCACAGTCCTGGAACTGCAAGCCTCCATTGATCCTAGTCCAACTGTCATCGATGAGTCATCTAATGTGGTTTTACGTTACCGCACGCCTTACTTCAGGGCATCAGCTCAGGTACAGGTGCCACCCATGCTTTGCAAAGAGATCTGGACTGTTGGCTGGATCCAGGCTTGCAATCAAATGGATTTCTTCAATATATATGGAAATGAAGGAGTGTAAGTGTGTTCATTGTGTACTATAAATAGATATGCTGAATACCATTGCCTTTTAAGTGCCTTTATTTCTTTGGCCCCCAATACCTTTAAAAAAATAATAAAATGTGTAAATTGTTGTGCATGAATCCCTAATTTAGAGGCGGATATTCACTGAATACTGTCAACACTCTTAACAAATAAAGGTTCATCATTGTCATCAATGGTTCCATGAAGAACCTTTCCTGCACTAAAGTTTTAGTGGAAAAAGGTTCTTATGAGTGTTTAAATATTCTTCACACTGAGAAAAAAAAGAGGTTGTTTTCACAGAAAGCATCTAAAATTGTCCTACTTCATCACGAAAACCCCTTTTGGGACTTTTATTTTTTTACAGTTCATTTGCAAGTGAAAAAAAGTAAGACAGCGCGAAACAAAGATGAGAATAAATTTGCAACTATAAATTTGCAAAATAATTTTGCATAAAAGTCAATGCATGTTATGTTTTATTGTTGTATATAAATACCATTTAGTCACATTATTGTGTTAAAAACATAGAACTATTTGAAAATAGTTGAAATAAAAAAATCATTCAATATTGTAAAAAATGAACTGAGCTTATTGATCTCAGAAACTTTCTTCATTGGTGGCATGATGCTGCTGCAGAACTATGTAAAACTATTTCTCAGGATGTTAGTGATGTTTATGGTCCAACTTCCTGGGATTGTTTCCTCAACAGCAGAAAAGTTGAACACACCCCTATAAGGACAAAGGCTTGTCCTTTACCAGCGTATGTCAGTCAGGTTTTATTTCTACTAAGATAATCACATCTTTATGAAATGAACAATTACAGGGTTGAATAATAAGAATAAGAATATCTTGTAGTTCTTAATCATTTCTTATTCTGAAACTTTTTTTTTATTCCATAGATTGGGTGGAACATAATTGGTTTAAATACTTAAGTTACATCACTGATGTAAGAGTTTATCACTCAGCATATCATATGAAGAGTTCAGATGCAAAAGCCTCTAAATGCCATTTGAAATTTTCTTCTTTAATGATGATTTTTTCAAACTTGTATATTTAAGTTCAGTAATTTCACTTAAATAACAATTAATAGGTAATTATCATTGCCATTTAAGTGAAATCACTGAACTTAAATATACAAGCTTGATAAAAATCATCATTCTAGAAGAAAATTTCAAATGGCATTTAGAGGCTTTTGCATCTGAACTCTTCATATAAACAACTTGAAAACATCTGAAAAATATGTGTCATCTTCCCTCTTTTAGATCCAGCTGGGAGCTCCCAGAATTGAGATGTGGGGCAGATTCAGGCCATCAGTGACTCAGACGGTGTGAATTACCCCTGGTACGGCTGCACCACTGAGATATACACAATAGTGGGCCCAACTAAGAAAAGCACCAAACTCACTGTCAGCATGAACGACAACTTCTGCCCAAGTGTGACGTGGAGTGTCCAGTGGGCACCATAGCAAGTCCCCCTCTCCTAAGCTCCATCCAGAGGGACCAACGCTTCAACACCTGGCTGGTGGCCATGAACGAAACTACAGCTGAAATGGTGCTACTCCGAACCATCCACTGGAGGATGCAGCTCTGCATTAAAGTGGATCCAAAGAAGCCTCTGGGTCAAAGAGCCACAGTTCTGGAGCCAGTGATCCAGGAGCAGCCTCAAGTCCTAGTTAGGAACGAGCCCATCCCAACAAACGCCTTGCTTAAGCCTAATGCCAATGATGCCCAGGTTCTAATGTGGCGGCCTAGAAATGGCAAGCCCATTGTGGTCATCCCCCCGAAATACCATGAAGGATACTTCCTTTCATTTTAACTTGAAATGATTCAATATTGCTCAGTTAAATGAAGTATGGCATGGAGTGAGTGAGAATGCTATTAAACAGGGTCACTGATTTAAAGTTTTAAAGAAACAAGGTGTTATTTGTGTATTTACTGATTGTTAATGTGCTGTTTAAGGACACACATTTATCATATTTATGTACTTTTGTTTTTAGACATGTTAATGTTTGTAATTTGTATGGCAAAAATGCATGTCGCCTTTGCATACTTTGCTATATGACTGAAATGTGGCCTTACAAAACCAATTATTATGAACTAAACTAAAATCGTTTGTTCACACAGAATGAGCTGATTATTAATGAAGGCGGTATATTTATTTTTAGTCCGGTGTGGGGCTAAAGTTGTTTTTGCCTTTGTTTTTGTGCAATTACAGGAAACACATTTGCAAATGTCACTGCATGGCCTCTTACAGAATGTTCTCTGGTCAAGAACTGTGAATAAACTGAATTGTCTTCTCATGTTTTAAGAGGCAGCTTTCCTGGGGCACAAGCTGTGTTTCAGGTACTTCATCTTTTT